GGAGTGTCCTCCTTTTGGAGGCACAAAATATGGTAACCCTAGTCATACTGGGTGAGACCAATGGTCCATCTAGCCCACTATCCTGTCTTCCAGCAATGGCCTAGTGCCAAGTGCTTCAGAAGGAATGAACAGATTGGGCAATCGAGTGATCCATCCCTTGTTGTCCACTCCCAACTTCTGGCAGAGGGTAGGAACACTCAGAGCATGGGGTTGCATCCCTGACTGTTCTGGGTAATAGCCATTGATGGACCTATCCTCCATGAACTTATCTAATTATTTTTTGAATCCTGTTGTGGTTTTGGCCTTCACAACATCCCCTGGCAACAAGTTCCACAGGTTGACTGTGTTGTGTGAAAAAGTACTTCCTTTTGTTTGTTTTAAAACTGCTCCCTATTAATTTCATTGGATGAACCCTGGTTCTTATGTTATGTGAAGGAGTAAATAACACTTTCTTATTCACTTTTCCCACACCAGTCAAGATTTTATAGACCTTTCCACATGTTTGTTGACCCCCTCAAAGAATTCTAATAGATTGGTGAGGCATGATTTCCCTTTATAAAAGCCATAGTAACTGTTCTCCAACAAACTGTATTCATCTATGTGTCTGATCATTCTGTTCTTTACTATAGTTTCAACCAGTTTGCCTGGTACTGAAGCTAGGCTTACCAGCCTATAATTGCCGGGATTGCCTCTGGAGCCTTTTTTTAAAAATTGGCGTCACGTTAGCTATCTTCCAGTCATCTGGTACAGAAGCTGATTTAAATGATAGGTTACCGCAGTTAGTGGTCTTCATGTGATCTGAGTGTTCCACCCATCCAGCTGGCTCCCAGCCTTTCCACCCTCTGTTTTCTTCATTGGCTCTTAGTTCCATTTTCCTCTCCATCCCCACCCCCCTCCATCTCAGTCCCAGTCTCCTTGTGCATCCAATTCCAGCCTATCCTCCCCACACCAGCTCCACGCCTTCTTGCCCAGCCAGCCTCCCTGCCAAACTAGTCCTAGCCTCCCCTTCCTTCCTGACTCTCAATCTAGCTCCTTGCCCAGCCAGTTCTAGTCTCTCCTTAACTTCCTGTCACAATCTGTTCCCCACCCAGTCCCAGTCTCACCAGACTCCTTGCCCCAGTCGACTCCTTTCCCACCCCCATGGTCCAGCTTTTGTCCCTTCTGTATTTGGATCCTCCACACAGCCTGGGTGCCAGCGAGGTGGTGGTGTCTCTGAGAACACTCTGAGGACACTGAGAGCTCCGTGCTCTCAGTTCCAGTGACCTGTTCCGCCCCAGTCTGGAGCAGTAATTACAGGTAAAGTCCAGTTTTTCCACTGTAGCCCTGGATTGGTGCATGCTCAGTCACTTTGTGGGGATGGCCCAAGCGCAATCTGGTCACAGGTAGAAGTTGTGAGAGGATGGCACATGTTTAACCTATGTGAATTGTGTTTTTTTTCAAAAGGCTTATAACTCAGCCATGTTTGGGTGGATTTTCACACGGAAGACAAAAAGCCTTTGGGTCAGCAATGTGCCATCTCCTTGCTGAATGTCACCAGCTCCAAAGCATGAGGGCACTAGAGCATGTCAAAAGATCGCCAGATTTTTTTTTAAACATTGCAAAAGGACTTATTTTTCCCTAGCATTGTTCTTGGAAATGGCTGAACCATTTTGGCTGAAATTTTTGAAAATAATTCAGTCTGTGACAGACACCTGGCATGGAGAACTTTACCTTAAATGTTTGAAATCTGGCAAAGTTATAAACAATTGAAAATAGAGTGTTATAATGGGATGTGTCAGGCAACATTAATAGGCAGTACTACCAGCCCACCAATAATATAGTGATGAGATAGCTTTCATGTACACAGCACCTATGGAAAAATGATAGTCATGTAATACGTTCTGTTTATCATGCACCCCGGTCATGTGCTGTGTGCCAGCTAACCCACATCTGTTGGATGACTTCCTGAATTTCTGAGCAGTTTCCAAGCAGCTGCCATTTAAAGGACCCAATTTGCCAGACAACTGGTTGAAATTTCTCCTTCTAAACTGCCCTTCACAGCAATCTTCAGTCTTGGACTAGTGAAAGGCCCTGAACATTGTATCAGTTTAGAAACCTAAAATCTTGCAAACACTTTTACAGTGTTTGACATATATAAAATATATGTGGGGATACGGTAGGCATTAAGAAACCCTGCCTTCCCTGACTCACTTGTGCCTTCACTGCTTGTGAGTTATGCAGCTACCCCAACATCAGCCAATAAAACCTTTGTAATGGACCAGTAACGTTGTGTATTGTGTGTGTAAATTTCTACGTAGAGTATCATTTTATAAAGCATTAGGAGCCATTCAAACAGCCAGATCTGGCTTGGCTGAATATTCCTAATTCTCTCATTCTGCATCTGGTGCTAGCTGCTCTTAGTTTAGTTCTGACTGCTGGACTTTTCCATTTTAAGGTTATTCTGAGGGAATGAAAGCTGCCATATTTTTCATGAACTTAATGTCATTATTTTGTTGTTTATATTATAAATCTTAATAATGTCTGGTGCTGTGGTGCTCCCTCTGATGGGACTGTATCTGCCATGTGCATGTATAGCAGATAGTAATACATTAGTAATACATAGTTCCAGTCACAGCTCATCTGAGAAAGAACCATTCAGTTACTCTTTGCAACCCTGTATCCCAAAGCTCTTTGAGGTTTTTGGTACATTATCTCCAAATGGTAGTAACCCCCAGTACATGTTAGTTCATGCAGGCCTCATTTCTGAAGATAGGAATGGTCTTGGTGTACTACAACACTCTCACCTTATTGCTATTGTTGCTACATGACTTGCGGTATTGTTTGCATAGTTGCTGGTTAATTCAGGATTGGCCAAATGTGTCCCACAGAGTCCATAATTCGGTGTAACAAGGCCACCTTAGTGTTTAATATGGCAAGACTGTCTGCAAAAACTACAGGTCGCAGCATCAATACTCAAGCTTGAGCTGAGAGGCTTGTCCTCCGGGCACTGCAGTTTGGAATTTATCGTCTCTGCAGCCCATGCCACTGCATATGACTAACTCGGTGGCAATCAACTCTGATTTTATGGGCAAAGTTTAGGTGCACTTGCGTTAACATAGGTCAGAATGAAAGTGATTATCTCTTGAAAAGTCTGCCAACTGAAAATGGGCTTTAAACTACTAGATGTTTTAAGCAAAAGTATTAGGTGATTAAATTGGAGAAGTATCCTACTTGGATTCTGTATTTCTGTCTAAAAGGCAAGTGCCTGAAAAGTATTACATTAACACAAGGCAAAGGTGGGGTTTAAAAGCATAAAATAATCTACTGTAATGGCAGATACTGCCTGGATGCAAAATAAGCATCAAATTGGGCACTCTAATCCTTCTGCCAACATGGAGTCCCATTGATTTATGGGGATCATCTGGCAGAGTCAGAGCCTAAACAAAGACAAATGCAGAGATGGTGATTTTCTCTTCTTTTTACTTAGAGTGAAATTCCTTAACACAGGCTCCCTGTCAACACCTGTTACATACACTCCCTGACTCTTCTGCCTTTGTTTACACTGATCGCTTTCTGCCACTGAGACAGATCTGGAGTGAAAAGCTAAAGATGCTGCTGTTCTTCCGTAAAAGGAAACCCAGTGATGAGGCCCGGAAGCGCCTTGAATACCAAATGTGCCTGGTAAGCTTTGGGGTGGTGCTTTTCCCTTTTCTGTATCACTCTTTTGGATAAGGGTGCTAAGTTGAACTCCCAACCACTGGTAACTACAGATTCTATGCCACTTTCACTACTAGGTGCTACTGCAGTGCAAATAATAATAATGAATGAAAGTCCAGGTGTTTACCTGCACTGTGATTTGGCCAGGACAGCTGGGGTAGATCCTCAACTGGTATAAGTTGTCATAGCTACATTGAAGTGAATGAAACTACAATGCTTTATACCAGCTGAGGGTCTGTCCCCCGGTTTATATTCTGCTTCCTTAAAACAATCCCCAGGTAGTTTTTTCACCACTTCTAAAAGTAGTTGTAGAGTGGTGCTGGCATAGGATGACTGCTATGTTGTACCCCAGAGGCTGCCACATTTCGGTAGCGGGAGATTGATTCCTATTTAAGCAGATAGCAAAGTGCTTCAGGATGAAAGGCCTTATGCACTGTATGAGGTGTAGCTGGTGTAACTGAGAAGAGATGAGTGGTTTTAGCCTTTTTTCCCTATTCATAATTTTAATCATTTAGAGACACTAGCTAGCCAAAGGATCAAATGTTGCTTTGGATGTCTGCATCCAATGTGTGTATTTTAAACTAGTATGATGTATTAGCTCTGCCTCTCTAAGCACTTCCTGCTATCTTGCTCTGCACTAAAACCTTCGTTTAAAGCTGAATTTGGCCCCTGTATTTTCTGACACGTATCTGCATGACATCAGTTTCACTACCCGGGTTAATAACAGTAGTTACATCTAATTGTCTGGTGAAAACAGGAATGATTAAATATGTATTAATAACGCTACTCCCTGAAGTCATTACTTTGGAAATGATTAGACCCCCCAAAATGAAGCTGCAGAGGACTAGAAGAACTCTTCTTCCAACTGGTCATTGTATCTTTTAATAGCTCAGATGAGGATGCTGAGTGTTATGAAGAATTGCTCTTGTGACTTGCAGCTGCTTCTAATTCTTCCTAGTAACCCCAGCAGCCTGACCAGTGAAAGTGATGGTTTTCTTTGTGTCTGAACATTACCGTGATTCATTTGTTCAGAGTCCAATCAACTAATTGGACTGGCTTGGCAGTTGTTGTTAGCCTCTGTCGGGTTCCCAATCACAACTCCCTTTCACTTTTATGTTCATGTAAGCTGCCTTCATTTCAGTAGACTGTGTGAAATGAATTTGTGGGGAGGGGGTCTTTGGCTAGTTCCTAGTGGGACAGGTGTACATGTCACAAAATACACAAAAATGGTCACTTATTGACAGTCTCAGCAGAGAGGCCAAGGACAGTGAACCCAGATATGGTTGCACCATGTCAGGATTGGCATATTGGTGGGGCAGTAAAGGGGCAGCTTGCCCTGGGCATTGCTGGGACTTTACCTGTTCTGGAAATAAATGGGAACTTTGGTCTCCAGGGCTATCAATCTGTTACTCCACCATCCCTAAAATTCATTCAAACTTTCACCTTCACCGATAAAGCTTAGGTGGTGTTTGGAATTGACTTTTTGCTCCTTGAAACTTGTCTGAGGGGCCCCAATTCAGCAAGGTGCATAAGCACGATAGAGCTTTTGAGTCAGTAGGACTATTCACGAGTTTAAAGTTAGTCATGTACTTAAATATCCTCCTGGATCAGGGCCTAGGTGCTTATGCACTTGAAGACCCTGATCCATCCCCCCTTGAAGTGAGTGGTGAAACTCCTACTGCTTGTAGTGGTGCAGGGTCAGGCCCAAAGTGTGTCTCTGCTCTGGAAAAGTGTCAGTAAAACTAGCACTGTGGGGCCTGGTGTTTGTTGTCCCAGGATTATTGCCATAGTGGCTGTGCTTAGTCTCCAAGTGAAAGGATTTTTTTTCTAACTGCCATCCCGGTAGACTCAGTCTTGGCTCCTAGTCAAGCTTTACTCTTTCCATCCTATGAGCCTCACTAATAATAACAAGTTTGAGAGGCCAAGTTATGCTCACTGGTGCAACCTCATTATTGCCTTCAGTGATAGCAACAGGTTTACACAAGTGCTACTAACTGGAACATAACCGCTTTACACAAGAAGGAATGAATCCCAGCTCCCCTTTCAGCAGCTGAGTTAGCCCTGTAGCAGGAATAGAAAGCAGCAGCAATTACTTTTGTTCCTATAGATAGCAGAATCTGATTCTCAATGCACAAAGGGAGTAAGTCTGATGACTAAGAGGTGTAATTTTTACAGTAGTCCCTTTATGTAGTAGAGCCTCCCTCTCATTCATGGCATGATCTATTTCTCTCCAGTCCTAGAGAACCAGGAATTATGTCACTAAAACACTTTCATATGCTCTCTGTTAAAATCTTCTCGCACAAGTGACATCTCTGCTCTTGATACAAAATTCACTTTGCTGCTGCATGAGCAGGGCTGCAGGTATAACTATGGAATATACTTTGCATCTAATACTTGCCCTTGATTGTGGTGGCCATAACAAAGAGCTGTGATTAAATTTCTATGTCAGCAGGGTAGTTTAGCCAACAAGAGGCCACTTGTCTCTCTAAGCATTCTAAAGCTGCAGCACATATCTCTATCTCTTTCTCGCTCTGTAGGCAAAAGAAGCTGGTGCTGATGACATTCTTGATATATCTAAATGTGAACTCTCCGAGGTATGTGATTTGCAGAGTGAGGGGACCTGTCCAGCTCTCTCATTTCCTCCCAGTACTGAACTTCCGTCGTTATACTCTGATGAGTCTAGAGCAGTGGTCACCAACCGGTCGGTTGTGATCGACTGGTCGATCCTGGAGGATCTCCCAGTTGATCGTGATCTCCAGCTGCACAGCGGGGCTGCCTGCCTGTCCCGGACCCATGCCGCTTCCAGAAGCAGCCAGGGGGGTCGGGGGGCAGAGGTCTCCCTCCACCACACTGCTCTTGCCTGTAAGCATCGCACTCACAGTTCCCATTGGCTGGGAATGGGGAACTGTGGCCAATGGGAGCTGCGGGGGCAGTGCTTGTAGAGAGGGGCAGCGCCCAAAGCCACGTGCCGCCCGCCCCCTCCCCCTAGGGGCCGCAGGGACGCATTGGCGCTTTCCAGGAGTGGCATGGGGCCGAGGTAGGCAGGGAGCCTGCCTTAGTGGCAGCCACACTGCATCGCCGACTGGGAGCTGCTGGAAGTAAGTGCTGCCCAGCGGGAGACCGCACCCCAACCTTCAGCCCCAAGCCCCCTCCTGCACCCCAAGCCCCAGTCCTGAGCCCCCTCCCGGAGCCAGCACCCCCATATCCCCTCCTGCAACCCGAACCCCCTCCTGCACCCCAAGCCCCAGCCTTGAGCCCCCTCCCAGAGCCAGCTGCTTTAAGAAGAGAGAAAAATCCTAACTGCAAAGCAAGACCCCTCTCCTAGCTTTGTCTTCTTCTAGGCTTCCCACAAACTTGGAACAACCCAGATGTTGAAAAGCAAGGACAGTAATAGTGAGTGAGGAATTGCCACGCCCTTTAGCGAGACACATCTTCACATTCTGGCCCCCTGATAGTCTGTGAGATGCAAACCCACTGATGTTTCACCTTCATGTGAACAAGACAGGTCAAAGCATCAGTGGTTCCAAATGTGCCATGGTGCTTGGTACTGGCTAAAAGTGTGCGCTGATCTCAGTTTTCTGACTGCCCCCTGTGTACAGTTGCCAATATATGTAAAGGCATCTATCCTCTCCCCTTTCCCATTTGGCCAGGGTGTGTGCTGGGGGTTACAAAGACATGCTGGGATCCCCATTTGTATAGTGACTCATTTAGAATGTGCCTGGGCTCCTGAGGGATCTGCACACTGCCTGTTAAGCTGCCCAAGTCCTGGACAGCTGCCCAGACCTAGCAGCACATTCTCTGTTAGCCCGAAGTCCCTGTTGTGCTGCCCAGAGCCACTGGTTGATGTTCACAGCAGTGCAGTGAAGTGCTGGGGACCAGCTATTGACTAATGACAGAGACCAGTAATTTTAGAATCAGTTGGGTTTTTAATGAAAGCGGATTGTTCAATCCTGTGGATGGATACTTTAGAAGTGCTTAGAAAAGTAATGGCACATTGCAATGTATCATTGTGATATACTGAGCTATTTTTGTGCTTGATTTCAGATTCCTTATGGCGCTTTTGCAACATGTAAAGTTTTGCAAAAAAAGGTAAGAGAAGTCTAAATACTAAGCGTTATTACAGTATGTGATGTGCCTGTGTAGCGTATATGGGCATTTAGATGATTCTTCAGAGGAAGGTGAAATCTCTGTCCTTAATGCACTTGGCCAGTTGTGCAATGCTATATATAGAGGGTTTTGTGATGTTTTCTTGGGGCACCCAGGATTCTGTTATCTTGTTACTCCCCTGCCTCAGCGAGAGAGAGAGACTTGCTGGTGCTAAATGTGGTGTCAGTTCCCTATCACTCTAGTCAAACAATCTACTCAGAAGCTCTGCCAGCCTTGCTTTACCGTGCCAGTTAACTTTAGGTGCACTCCAATCCCTCTTGAAGGCATTCCCTGCAGTATCCAGCCCCGTCACTGGACTCTCACAGAAATTACCAAGTTCGCTATCTCCAAAGGGACACTGCACACACCAGCCTGTTTGATTCAACTAAGGATTCACACTTTGCTTAATATTACAGCACTGAGATGTACTTATGATAAAATCAAGAGAAATTTATTAACAAAGAGAAAGATTTAAGTGATGCTGCATAAAGGTAATGGAAACAGAATTCGTTAAAAATAAAAACAAAAATATCACACACTTCTAAGAGACTAAACATAACTTTAGCAGGCTACAGTCCTTTGGCTAAAGCAGTTTTCTCACCCTCAAAATCTGTCTGCAGAGCTTGCTGGTTTTCAGTCAAAACCAGGATCCATAATGGTCACGAATCACTCCACTCTGCCAGGGGCATGAATAACAAAATGTCTTTTTGCTTCTCCTTATATTTCCCCAAAACTCATTGTTTTGACCCCAGAGACAAGACAACCCCCCGGTGGTTTTAGTCTCCAGTGCTTTCCCAGGCTGATTTCATACTCTCCGCTTCCCCGGTCAGCCTGGCTTTTCCTGTTGACTTGCATGCAAATGCAGCTCCCATCATGTTGGCTTTTGCATTGCTTGATTTACCTGCCTGCCAAGGTCTCTGATGTAAACCAACATTCCTGTCTGTGACAAACTTGTTCATCAGCCCTGCCTGGTCATGTCGTTTGAACACATTTGTAGCACACTGTAACGATGCTGGTTCTGGTGGGACCCAACTGAGAGTGCCAATTCAGGACAAATTGCTTAAACAGGGCAGTTACAGCCCAAGGCTGGGGTTTTTCCACCTCTAAGGCAAACCAAACCAGCCAGACTAAGGGTACGTCTATACCCAGCCGCTAGTTCGGCGGCTGGCAATCGAACTTCTGGGTTCGACTTATCGCGTCTTGTCTGGACGCGATAAGTCGAACCCGGAAGTGCTCGCCGTCGACTGCGGTACTCCAGCTTGGCGAGAGGAGTACCGCGGAGTCGACGGGGGAGCCTGCCTGCCGCGTGTGGACCGAGGTAAGTTTGAACTAAGGTACTTCGAACTTCAGCTACGTTATTCACGTAGCTGAAGTTGCGTACCTTAGTTCGATTTGGGGGTTTAGTGTAGACCAAGCCTAAGAGGACTTTGGTTTCACCCCACTGGCTAACCACAAGTCACACAAGCAATTCCCTTAGACACTCCAGTTTTCCAGTATCACCACCAGTGCCACTCGTTATGGGGACAAATGGTTATGAAAACCAATACACCAATAAAAGAAAAAAGGTTCTCTCGATCCCAAAGGACCAAGCCCCAGACCCAGGGCAATATACAAATCAGATCTTACCCACAAATCATGCTGTTGCCAATCCTTTAGAATCTAAAATCTAAAGGTTTATTCATAAAAGGAAAAAGATAGAGATGAGAGCTAGAATTGGTTAAATGGAATCAATTACATACAGTAATGGCAAAGTTCTTGGTTCAGGCTTGTAGCAGTGATGAAATAAACTGCAGGTTCAAAATCAAGTCTCTGGAATACATCCCCAGCTGGGATGGGTCATCAGTCCTTTGTTCAGAGCTTCTGTTTGTAGCAAAGTCCCTCCAGAGGTAAGAAGCAGGATTGAAGACAAGATGGAGGAGATGCATCAGCCTTTTATAGTCTTTTCCAGGTGTAAGAACATCTCTTTGTCCTTACTGTGGAAAATTACAGCAAAATGGAGTCTGGAGTCACGTGGGCCAGTCCCTGCATACTTTGCTGAGTTGCAAGGCATATTTGCCTTCTCTCAATGGGTCATTTGCATAGCTGATGGTCCTTAATGGGCCATCAAGCAGGCTAGGCAGAGCTAACACCAACTTGTCTGGGAAGTTTCCCAGAAGCATAGCATAAGTTTGAAATACAAACAGTATAGAGCCAATATTCACAACTTCAACTACAAAATTGATACACACATATAGACAGCATAATCATAACCAGCAAACCATATTCTTGTCTTAGACACCTCATTTGACCCCCTTTATACAAGATTTGGTGCCACTACAGGACTTTGGTTGCAACAATGATCTATATGGTCCCAGATTATATTAATAATGTCACACACATACATACAACTTCTTAGTTACCACCCATATATACATCTCACAACGCCTACGATAACCAGTATACCATAAAGCCAGAGGTCCCCAAAGTGTGGGGCGTGCCCCCCATGGGGGCATGGAGGAACATCCGGGGGGTGCTGTGGGGCCCAGGCCAGCTGCCATGGGGGCAGGGAGGGAATGCCACCCAGCCCCTCCCCGCCCCCAGCTCTGCTCTGCTCCCGCCCCCAGGCGTCCCCGGCCCCACGCTTGGCCCTGGCCCCAGTCTAGGTGTGGCTCCACTCCTGACCCTGCACCAGTCCCCAACCTCAGCACCCTCACCACAGCTGGGCTGCGGCCCCACTCCCAGCCCCAGACTCACCCCTGGCTGCAGCCCCAGCCTTGGCCCCTTTACCCCTGCGGCTCCATTCCTGACCGCTTTGGGGTCCCCTGTTTGGGGACTGCTGCTATAAGCTTTCATGTAATACCTCACATGACCTTCTTTACAGACAAATACTACGATAGCAGTATGTTAGGTGTAGTGAGTTTGTCAAGCCTGATAGGAGTTGCTATCAGAGAGTAGTGAACCACTAATGGGCCTCTGTTTCACAGGAGAATATGTGTAGGAATTCTTGCTGAACCCCTACAGGAGTTAACTTAGAATGAATCAAATCTCCTGCTGTCTTAGCTGGCATGACCTCAAGTATTATTGATCAGAAAATTATCCAGACCCTGTTTAAATCCAGCTGTGATATCTGACTCTGGTCTCCTGTGGCAGCCAGTTCCACTCATGCAAATAATTATTTTATTTAATATTTAATCTAATCAGGTCTGAACCGCTTACAGAAATAAAATAATTGAATACAGAATGAAATCCACGGGGATGTGGTTGTTCAGGCTGTAATATCTCCTGTGATGTTATTCCAATGTTATTTTTCTTTTCAGGTGCTGATTGTTCATACAAATAATCTAACATCTCTGGTTCCAAAGTCCTGCAGTCTCCTGAATCTCATAACTGTGAAGGTAACCTGTGACCCTGTAACAGTGTCTCTGTGCTGCAGAGTAAACCAAATAAACCCCCTACCCATCAAACTGATTCTCGCCTCTAGGGACTGGCAGCAAGGTGCAAAGGCTTCTTCACTGAGCTCATCTCTTCAGTTTCATCCTCGGGAGGCAGTGGCAGGAAGTTTTTACCATCTGGTGGTTGTTGAGCTACTGTCACTGGCACTACCGTGAATCCATTTGTTTGCAGAGGCTGGGTTTTTCTTAGCCATAGAAATGCAAGGCTGGACGGGATCGGGAGAGTTCATCAAGTCCAGCCCCCTGCACTGAGGCGGGACCAAGTAAACCTAGCCCATCCCTCACAGCTTTTAGTCCAACCTGTTCTTAAAAGCCTCCAGTGACAGGGATTCCCCACAAGCTCCCTTGGTGACCTGTTCCAGTGCTGAACTATCTGTAGAGTTAGAAAACTTTTCTTAATATCTAACCTAAGTCTCCCTTGGTCCAATCTGAGTCCAGGTTACTTCTTGTCCTTCCTTCGCTGGACATGGAGAACAATGGATCACTGATGGGGGTAAGGTGCCCAACTCCTATTGGAAGTCAATAGGAAATGGATGCCTGATGTTCTTAGGACCCTTTGAAAGTTGCAGCCTGGCAGACTGACTTTCACTGCTGGGTAACTGCTCTCCTTTCGTGCTTATAATGTGACACCTCACCACAAGCTTGGTTGAGATGGAATCTTCTCCTCCTGTCCTAGGTTTTAGATCTCCATGACAACCAGCTGACATCGCTTCCTGATGATATTGGCCAGCTGACATATCTCCAGGTAAAGGGTTTGTGGGTTGTGTCCTGGGTGCCTGCTTTAGGATCTCTTCTAGGGCAGCATGGTTGATTTGTATTGCTATTAAATAGCTAACTAGTATTTTAAATGATAGTTGTCAGTGGCTTGGATCCTTATCACTTTCCCCAAGAGCCAGGCTAATCGCAGTGAAAATGGCAGTATGGGGCATAGCAGACGCTTCACATTTCTTGGTGCCAGTTTACACCACTCTGCTATAATTGGCCTTCAGGCTAGGGCAACGGCTAGCAAACCAGGTCACCAACCATGTGCCAGAAGCAGAAGTTTCCAGTCCTATTGCCTTTCTGAAATACTCAGGTTCTGCAGCTCCTATTCATAGAGAATCATAGAAGATCAGGGTTGGAAGGGACCTCAGGGATCATCTAGTCCAACCCCCTGCTCAAAGCAGGGCCAATCCCCAGACAGATTTTTGCACCAGATCCCTAAATGGCCCCTTCAAGGATTGAACTCACAACCCTGGGTTTAGCAGGCCAGTGCTCAAACCACTGAGCTATCCCTCCCCGCCAATGAATGTGTTGGGAGCCACAGTCCTGGAGTGCCTATTGTAACTCTGATGTCCAGTTGCCACTGAAGAAAGAGACTAGTCCTCCCCTCCTGCTCTGCGCTCTTGCTGCAGAGGGCATTGCTCTAGGAAGTTACCGGACATTCCACTATGAGAACCCACTGGAGCATAGGGATCTTGTCTCCTGAGAAATGAGGAAGAGCATTACAAGACTTAAAGTATGTGTGTATTGTACATAATATGGAGGGGGCACATGTCCTGTGCAGCCTGTGAGAGACCTGCCCTCAGCAGTGACTTTGGGAGCCCTGTTCCATAGACCATGAGAAGCTGTGCATTGTGGAGGAGGGAGATGGTCTCCGTGGGTAGGGCAGGATTGGACCGTTATGTGAACAAACTAACTGAGACCTCAGCCGCATGCTCTGATTGGGTTGTATGCTCTGCCCTTCTGTTGGGAAGTTGGTGCTCTAGCAATGGAGGCTGGGAAATATGTTCCAGATGGGGAAGAAATAAATCAGCATCTGCCAGTCTGAGGGGGGATGGGACTTTTTTCCATTCTTTGACTGGGGGGCTAGATAAGAGCCACCCCCTAGTAAACACTGAGATTCCACAGTAGTCCCAGGCAGGGAATAATGGTTGCAGTGTCTCCTGAAAAATAGACTAAGCAATGGCTAATTAATCTTTAGATGCTAACGATGATAGACTGGCCCTCTTGGAAGTTACTAGCTGATCTTTAGGTCCCTCTGCCTGGTATGTGGACTTAGTTCCATTATTGCGAGATGCCATATAAAATATGAATAAACCAACAAAATTCATTCTGATTACACCAGCTTTGGTAGAGGGTTCAGCTGGGTTTCATGCCCCTAGACCAGGGGTAGTCAATAGGCAGACCATGGGCCAAATCCAGACACTTTTGAGTGGACTGTAAAAGTCAAATTGGCTGAAGCCAAGCAGGGCAGGATCCATGGGGAGGGGTGGGTGGCTGGGCCAGGCTGCTGGGCACAATGTGTCTCCAGGCGGCTGCTTGGTGCAGCTGCAGCCTCACCAGCTCCATCCTCCACCAGCTGGCAGCAGCACAGGGATGGAGCGAGTGGGCCATATGGGTGAATGAGCAGGCGCTGGCATCTGGGCTCAGTGAGTGGGGCAGTGGGAGCCTCTCTGGGCAGGGACCTGGTGGGCAATCTCGGGACTTGTGGGGAGCTGGGTCACCCAGCCCACCAGGTCAGCGCAGCTGCCATGCATCTCTCAGCCAGGTCACCTGCCCCACCACGGGGCCTCAGAGCCAGGCCCCAGCTCCCCACCCTGGAGAAGGGGAGAGGCAGGGAAGCGCTGACTGATGGGCTGGTACTGGGTCCCAGGCCTGCACCAGCCACCCTGACACCATGGCATGGAGCAACACTGCCCCCCACCTTGAGAGTGAGGCCCCAGGTGCCCCTTCCAGCACTCCCCAAATACTTCCTCCAGCACCCCGCAAAAGTCCCCTCCCAGTACACAGACCCTCCAGAACCCCCCAGGAACTCCCTCCAGCACCCCTCAAATGCCATCTCCCAGTATACATCCCCCCTCCAACATCCCCAAATGCCCCCTCCCAATACACGCAGCCCTCTTGTACCCCCACAAATACTCCCTTCAGCACCCCCCCAAATCCTCTCCCAGTACACAGACCCCACCACGTAACTCCTCCAGCACCCCCAAATTCTCCCTCCCAGTGCACCCACCCATCCTGCACCCCTAAATATCCCCTCTTAGTACACACCCCTCCAGCACCCCCAGTTACCCCCTCCCAGTACACACACTCCTCCCTCATTGCCCCAAATATTCCCTCCAGCACCCCCAACTGTACCCCCAGCTTCCCCTCCCCTTCTGTCAATGTCTTCTTTTTGGGAACTTGAAATATGGTAACCCTAAGCTGGGTGTGGTCAGCTGGGGGCAGTAAGGGGAGAGGAGCTGGTGGGGAGTGTGATGGGTTGGATCACAGAAACCCCCTGGGAGCTTCCACCTGATGTGCCAAGACTACCTCTGCTCCTGTTTTCCCTGCTAGCTCAGGACTCCAGCAGCCTGTCTTGCTGAGCCAGACATTATAGAGACATTCCCGTCTGCTCCAACACAGACCCAGGGTCTGAATTACTTGCCCCAAAGCTGCAGGTTTACCTGAAAGCAGCTAACAGAAGTGTTCCTGTCTTTAACACTCAGATGCCCAACTCCCAATGGGGTCTAAACCCAAATAAATCCGTTTTACCCCGTATAAAGCTTATGCAGGGTAAACTCATAAATTGTTTGCCCTCTATAACACTGATAGAGGGATATGCACAGTTGTTTGCTCCCCCAGGTATTAATACATACTATGAGTTAATTAATAAGTAAAAAGTGATTTTATTAAATACAGAAAGTAGGATTTAAGTGGTTCCAGGTAGTAACAGACAGAACAAAGTAAGTCACCAAGCAAAATAAAATAAAATGCGCAAATCTATGTCTAATCAAACTGAATATAGATAATCTCACCCTCATAGATGCTTCAGTAAGTTTTTTCCTCAGACTGGACACCTTCCAGGCCCAGGCACAATTCTTTCCCCTGGTACAGCTCTTGTTCCAGCTCAGGTGGTACCTAGGGGTTCCTTCATGATGGCTCTCTCTCTTTCTTCTCTTCCACCCCTTTATATATCTTTTGCATAAGGCGGGAATCCTTTGTCTCTCTCTGGGTTTCCACCTCCCCTCACTGGAAAAGCACCAGGTTAAAGATGGATTCCAGTTCATGTGACATGATCACATGTCACGGTAAGACCCCAAGCCTTCATTCCTCCCAGCCTGACTCACTGAAAGGCTTGCTAGCAAACAGAGCCTCAGTCAATTGTCCTGGTTGATTGGAGCCATTAAGATTCCAAACCACGATTAATGGCCCATACTTTGCATAATTACAATAGGCCCTCATGAGTTATATTTCATATTTCTAGTCCCAGATACAAGAGTGGTACATTTATACAAATAGGATGATCACACTCAGTAGATTATAAGCTTTGTAATGATACCTTACAAGAGACCTTTTTCATGAAGCATATTCCAGTTACATAATATTCACTCATTACTATATTTTTATAAAACCATATAGACTGCACAACGTCACGGGGTAATCGGCGGGGTTATATGCCTACAATAATTTTATTTGACAAACCAAAGTTAATACTCCTTGTAAACTCAAAACAAATTCAAACTTAAAACAATTGTCTGAAAATGTTTTAATGCTAATATTTGCATCTGACATTTTATCGATGTATTTTCTCAAAGTCTCAGATCTAATTTATTACATCTTTCCTGGAGGTTATTTTTAGGTTATACAGTGCACTAGCAATATAGGCCCTGGGTGTATTACACAGCATTGTATGTGTTGAACAGGGGCACTTGTGGTGTGAAAAATGTTTCTCTGAAGTCTGGACCTTGACTGTACCCTGGCCAAGAAATGTAGACCTTGACACACAAAAATTGACTACCCCTGTCCTCGACCCTAGTACTCCTCAGGGAATTCTGCTCTATTATGCATATGCAGAAGTCATGTGTCCTGCTGATTTTTTTTTTTTCTCAGCAGAAAATACATTTCTGTCCCAGAAGTACTGCAGTTCTGCCTTTGCCCAGCAGAGGCCGCTGTGGCACCAAAACAGCTAGCACAGAATTCCCCCAAGAGTAACTCCGAGGAGTCTGGGACAGCCATGGACTGTTATGGGTTACTGGGTCCTCAGCCTATGTGGCAGTATATAGCACTCATCTGATCATATCCGGATTATTTTTCTGTGCAAACAAAGGGAAAAGGTGGGCATTTAGCCATGGCAGAAGGTCAGTCTGTTTTCCACCTGCTGCACCTGGACTCAGTTCTGTGTTCTACTTTCACCAATGAATGGGGATCACCATTGTTCTGAGTAAATGGACATGCTCTGGGTCTTGCTCCTAAAGGACAGCTCTGCAGGGTCTCTTACTAGCAAAGCCAGACCCTTAGGCCATGTCTACACTACAGCCTGTGCGTCGGCAAAATGTATGTTGCTCCACGGTGTGAATATTCCACACACCTCCGAGCGACATAAGTTACACCAACCTAAGTGTTTGTATGCACAGCACTATGTCAGTGAGAGAACTTCTCTTACCAATGTAGCTTATGATGCTCGCGGAGCTCTCTCCCGTCGGCATAGAATGTCTTCACCAGATGCGCTGCAGCGGTGCAGCTATATCGGTACAGTTGCACCACTACAATGCTGTCCATGTAGACATGGCCTTAGGGACTGCAAATTGACAAATCCTCTTAAAGTGACTCAGTGGGAGCTTCCAAGAACAGCTCTTCCCAGCTAGGCCAAAACTGTGCTCTTGTCTTCTGGTCAGCTGCAGACTCCCAAGTCTCCCTGAGTGATTGGCCAATGGCTCTTTCCAAGAGCTTTGTTACCCGAACAGTTGTTCTTAAACCCATTGGGCTCATGGGCACTCAGACACAGCATAAGCAAGCAGAGGTTCTGAGGCTTACAGAATGAACCGCTTGAATATCTTCTCTCTCTTAATATCCTAGGTCCTAAACATTGAAAGGAATCTCTTAAAATCTCTTCCATGGTCTATAGGGGACCTCGCCCAGCTCCAGACCCTCAATGTGAAAGGTATGGCAAACTTTTCTAAGGCTGGCCACCAGGAGAGCATCAATAACAACTTCCCAACTCTTAATTTGCATGTAATTTACATGTTTTAAAACCATATTGAACTCTCACACCCATGGTTCTTGCTTGTCCTTGTATCTTCCTCGTTAGATGATCAGAAAATGTTGCTTGTTCAAGCTCTCCAGCAATTCAAAATAATGGTCCTGTGCCTGCTCAGACCAGTAGTTATAGGGAGAGAGCAATGGACAACTGCATTTTAGAGCTCCCCAGTCTATATTTCGCCCTATGGCTGCACTTTGGGCACCTGATTTAGATTATACATCCCTTGAATCTCCCAAGCATAGAGGGGAGGAGAGCAGGGCAGCCTGCATCCGTGGAGGGAAATACAGTCAGAGAACCAAAGTAATCTCTTTCTGCCTGGTGACTTTGTCTCTGCAGATGCCAGTGGTGCTAGGCCGGAAGAAGAGGACTAGAGGGCAGGGGAGTGGGAATGCTGTGTATGCTGGGTGGGATACTAGTGATCTCTCAGGGAGGGGAGGTGTAGATCACATGCCAACTTAACCGGTCATTTCCTCTATTTTGTGGGCTTGTTACTGATGTACAAAGCCCACTGACACCTCAACCCTTTGTTAACAAAGTTTTTGTGTGGAAATTTCCTTTGCGTAAATTCAGGCACAAAACTCTTCTCTACTTAGGGTATGTCTACACTCCGGGATTAATCCAAATGTATATAATTCGAATTTGGGAAACAGATTGTATAAAGTCGAATGTATGCGGCCACACTAAGCACATTAATTCGGCGGTGTGCATCCATGTTCCGGGGCTAGCGTCGATTTCTGGAGCGTTGCACTGTGGGTAGCTATCCCATAGTTATCCCATAGTTCCCGCAGTCTCCCTCGCCCATTGGAATTCTGGGTTGAGATCCCAGTGCCTGATGGGACAAAAAACATTGTCGCAGGTGGTTCTGGGTACAGCCTCACCCCTCCCTCCCTCCCTGCATGAAAGCAACGGACAGCAGACAACCATTTCGCGCCTTTTTTCCTGGGTGAACACTGCAGACTCCATATCACGGCAAGCATGGAGCCCGCTCAGCCCAAGACAGCAGTCATGAACATTGTAAACACCTCGCGCGTTCTCGTGGAGTTTATGCTGAGCCAGGACCAGAAAAACGAGGCGAGGAGGCAGCGGCGGCGGCAGCGCAGTGACAAGCGTGATGAGGACATGGACACGGACACAGAATTCTGTCAAACCGCGGGCCCTGGTGCTTTGGAGATCATGTTATTAATGGGGCAAGTTCTATCCATGGAACACCGATTCTGGGCAAGGGAAACAAGCACAGACTGGTGGGACCAAATAGTGATTCAGGGCTGGGATGAGTCTCAGTG